TCTCTAATAAAGTTTAGAATACAGACTGGATCATGTGACAATTTACTGCCAAACATAACTACCATTCTGAATATATATCTATATATATGTTTTGTTTATGTTTTATATGGTTTATAATATGGCAGATAGATGAGAGCCACTGTGTGAGTTTATTCATAAGATTACCCATAATTTATTGACTAAACCTAGGTATATTTATGTACAAAAGCTATTACAGTATTGACCATTTTTTGAATTCAACGTAAATATTGTGATTCAAATGTTGTTAACTCAAACTAAACAATCTCATGTGATGCAGATTTTTGAGCAGTGATTAATAATGCTGTTTATTATGTTGTGTATTACCGTACCTACTTTAACTTAGGTCGGAGGGCAGTGTTAGTTTCCTTGGCAACCCAGACAAGAAAATCCATTCAGCTTCATAATGACTTAAAGCTGTGAAATTAGTTCTACAGTTCATTTTTCAAATACTATTTCAACTCGTATTTTGAATTTTTATTGTATTTAATCTCATTTTCTCATCATTTACAGTTTTCTAGCCAATGAGAGGGATCGTTTACCAGTGGACGATGATGAAGACATTGCCAAGTATGTTGCATTGAGGTTCAATGCATATGGTTTTAACAGCGTCGAAATCGTACCCTATCAAATCTCATTAAATTACCCAATCCCAGGAACACCAAACAAAGTAGATGTCCTGTCACCAGAGGGAGCCGTTTGGTACTCAGCTTCATTTGCATATCAGGGTGAAAAGTCAGAGGATGAAAATGAACCTCAACCCAGTAGCAGCAACTCAACGGACGAAGATGGTGGTGTGCAGGAAGAAGCAGGAGATGGAGGGAATCTACCGATGTTTTATGCATATTCAGCAACAGGAATGGTTGAGGTAAATCATCCAGTTTAAGATTACCACTTGTGTGACTTTGTGTCAGCAGTTATACATATGTCATTAAAAGTGATTTGTGATATCTATTAAGCTTGTAAATTATAGTCTCACTGATCTCACATTACAATTTATCTTCTCTAAAATTCTCACAAATAGAAGGTCAATCTACTTATGTTATAAAATTAATTTGGTATTTAATTTCACTACCGTAAAGTCATTTAATTTTCACTGCTAGAAATGTTCATAATTTCAGGAACTCATGGCATTTGTTTATAAGACAAAATATTCTAAAAGTCACTGACACTCCATGTCATTGGACCCACGGAAATTTTCACTGCTACAAAATTTCATAAATTTCACTGTCTTGTGGAATTTCCAGTAATTTATCTCTCATGAAATTAAATCAGTTCACAACCTTTTGGTTTTTTGAAAATATTAATTGTTCTTTATATTCATAATAGTAACTTTAAATACTCCAAAGGTACAATCTTGGTGTACCATCTGGTAAAAATCATAAATACATTATAGAAATAAATACAGACAACTCCATTATGTGTAGAATTATAGTGAGTAAAGTTTTAGTGATGATTTGCTTCAGCAGATTTCACTTAAACTAATCAAAATTAAAAACCAGTGTGCATTAACAGTAATTATAACAAAGTGACAATTAACCAAACTGATGTGAATTTCTACTCTGCAAAACCTCGTAAATTTATACAAATGTGATGTTTATTTTCATCAGGGTGAATTGATCTATGCTCATTATGGAGACCAAGAAGATTTTGAAAAGTTGGAACAGATTGGAGTTGATCTAACAGTAACCGATAAAATAGGCTTAATACGATATGGAAGAACTAGAGATAATGAGAAGGTAATGTAAGGTCTAAATGAGATTGATAAATGATTGGTTCTTTTTTCGAGCCCAACGTTTTACAAGTCTCAAGTAATTTCCACAAATCTTTAGTTTGAATTTTAATTTATAAAAAAAACATGGATAATAATAAAAATGTTTGATGTGTTCATTTCATCACTATAAAAGTATCAATACATACATGGAAACCAATTCTGTACCTGTGTAAGTACTATGTTGCATGTCAAAATAATAATTTTTACATATGTACTGCAGTTTATTATGATTCTTCTCTGAAATCAAAATCAGTATTTCCACACCCCATATGCAAATGAGGTCTGAGAGCAAACAAGTAGTCCCTTCAGGAGTACCGTTTTTTAAAACATTGTGGAAATAAACAATATTTAGCAGTTTGAGTGAAATGAAATTTGAACAACAGTATAATGGTACTTTTAGGCAGTCGCTTATTTTGACTAAAACTAATTTGCATATCACCCATGCAATAACGTTTTTGGTATTTTCATGATCAATATGCAAATGAACATGGTACTTTCATTTGCAACCGAACTATTTTTATTTTGTAAACAAATTTTGCGTCTGTATTTTCATCATCAGACTCATTTTTTCCACGACCAGCAAGCAACATCACAAACGCAGTGTAGCATGAAGCTCAGTGACGACCGCTGTCGACGAAAGTCATCCCGTCAGTGGAGTACCGCAGTTGCACGGCATGTTTGCCAATGCACAGATCTGTGGAAGAACTTTTAACTTAGACATAAACTGTGTATCACAGTCGTCCAGTTCAAGTTCTGGTTCTGTCGTGGCCCCAACTAAATGTCAATGAGTTTAATATTTATTCAGACAGTGACTCAGATTAGACATCTGATTATTCTATTTTCACTCAGACAATGACATGCGTTCTACACTAACACGCGTTGCTAGGGTGTAACACTATCTTGAAACATATTAATGGGCAATGGGGTTCCCCAACCTAAATTCAATCCCGGTAATATGAAATAATCAAATATGGAACATATGTAATAATAACAGAACCATACACTCTTCTTGTGGCTTTCGTTGCATATAAAAGTTATTTTCACTCGTGATGTGCTTTGCTCGTTAAAGTACGGTCGCAGGATATACCACATCACTTGTGAAAATAACTTCCATTCGCTGCGAAAGTCACGGGAGGGTGTGGGGTTCTGTCATAGTATTCACCTTCTGTTGATATATATTGATAAATGTGTGTGTACACACTTCAGTTACAAAGAATGTGATCATGGTCAGATAATAATGACGTTTGAAGGCAGTAGTACGAATTGTTAACTTTTGCAGTGGGTGGATCTTTTAGATAAATATAGTAGTAAAGTAGGAGTAATGATGCAGGTATCTCACCCAGTGTTCACACTTCTAGATTTGAATTCACAGCAGAATAAAAGCTTGCCTAGTAGAAGTTAAAAATTTAACCAAACTGGATTTAATATCATCATATTGCGTCAGGCAATAGAACTGAATAACCCTGATCTGTTCTGCTGTCAGATTAATTTTAATCATATGTAGGGACCAGTTTATAATCTCTTTCATCCATTCACCCCTCAACACTGCATAGGTGAGATTAGCGGAGAAGTATGGTCTGAAGGGAGTGTTGTTTTATTTAGATCCCGAAGACAGAAAGATATCAAGTCATGACTGGCATGCCTCTCCACATGGTATTGAGGATCCCTTTACCTCAGGATATCCAGCAAAAGGTGAGCGTTCATTCTCTACAGTGTTCTCGCAAGCATGGGGGCTAATTAGCATAATAATGGTGTTGAAATTTGCATATTGTGTTACAATGTGAATAATTAACATGTTAATAACCTTCAAGCATTAAATGCAATTCAATATTCTTTTTATACATTATTAATATAATAGTACCCCATAAAAAGTTGTATCAGTATTCGTTTGAATGTATTTTTACTCATTTGAATGTTCAACATTTTCCTATTTGTAGGCAACATTGAATGAGTTTTGACATCACATTTAAAGATTCTTTTTTTTGTTCACATTGAACTAAAATCAATAATAGGCAAAACTAAAATATGATCTCGTCATTGCACAT